TGATGTTGACGATGATGAGAAGAGGGACATGCTTTGTGGCCATAGCGAAAGGCTAGCGATAGCATTTGGTTTGCTAAATACAGAACCCGGAAGCCCCTTACAGATAATGAAGAACCTTAGGGTTTGTGCTGATTGCCATACTGTCTCCAAGTATATATCTAATATTGTACAAAGAGAAATTTTAGTGAGAGATTCGAATCGCTTCCATCTCTTCAAAAATGGAGCTTGTAGCTGTGGTGATCGATGGTGAGAGATCTGCTCATTTCGTAAGTTACTTTGCCTGTGTGAGTGAGGATCGATCTTTTAGTGCCATGAATTTTTTTACACAAATCTTCCAGCTGAAGTTTGCCGCTAAGTTTTGATTTATCCACCAATGTTGAAAACCAACATAAGAGAAAGCTCGTATAGTTGGAGAATTGGAGGCAGATAAGAAGAAAAGGTTGGGAGGACTTCCTTTGGCAGATTGCTTATCGGGTTTATCAAGGAGAATATATCCTTGGGAAAGACGGGTGGTGGAGGGGATGGTCATTGAAGAAGCAATGCAGAGACTTTGGGTACAGTGTATGGCATGCAGGTGGGCATGAAAAATGTGCCAGACTTTGAGTTGGAGATTCTCTTCAAGTTTTTCAGTCCCTATGAGATGCAGGCCATGGCAGAGTCCAAAGTGATAGTAATATGGACAGGAAGGTGGGTCAAAGGCTGGAATCTTTTATGGTAAAACAGCTTGTAGCATTGCCAATGTGGATAAGCACTTGAGCAGAAGAATTTGTGGCAAGCACTTACTTCGGAAAAGAGTTCGGACTACTACATCTTATTCATAGTACCTGTATTCTCGGAAATGTTTCCACAAATCATGATTGGCATTTGCAAAAATTCTCATGCTAAACCTTATATAATTGGTGAAAAGGGGGTAAGTTAGGTGAAAGGATTATTCTTCCAACTTAATAAACAGGTTGGGTGAGTGATTCTCCTGTTAAGTACTTTTCTCATGGAGGAGAATGCTGTTGTCTTTACCTTACAGATGGACGAAGCGTCCCCCTGAGATTACTAAACAAAAAAAAAAAAAAAACAACAATCATAGGAGAATTTGGACAAACATTATAACCAGCAAAGAGAAATGGCAAAAGAACATGTAAGAAAACAGACTATCTGTACTTTCTCTGTTACTGAACATGATGTGTAAATTTACTGAAGTGCATTTTGCTTTATCTTCTCTGTGCACTCTGTATGATTTCTTATGTATAATTGAAATAATTAGTCTTTTTTCACAAAACTTTTTATCTCTTCTGCAGCAATTCTATATCCATGAGAAGCACTCAGGCAAAACTAGGCATGTGGATTCACGCATTTGCACCAGTTGGGAAACGGTCCGATTACATGGTCTGCTCTAACACAGTAACTGATGACAGGAGTTTTGTGGATGATTTTTCGAGGACAGATGAGTCGGGTGATATTAGAATCATGGTTATTCGACGTTAGTACACATTATGTTTGAATAGTATATTGAATATGGATTGTAAGTTCTCTTTACACTTTTCATGGGAAAGTTACTGGGACAGCTTGTTCGAGGCCAATAATTCTGACTCTGAACAAGTGTAGTTAAGCTGTATGTAAATGAACATTAACTTTGATTTGAAATCTTTATCAAAAGGATTAAACTACAGTGTGTTTTCTGCTGCAGTAATAACTCAATATTTCTCTGTAGTTTTAGTAAGGAGAAATCTGTGATGACTACTCAGTTTTCTGGTGCAAAATATCTGAGCAGAAGCCTCATCTTTCTGTCCTAGAGACCTGAATAGTCTGAGCAGTAGACTCAATATTCACTTTTGTACACGCGCTTAATGCCTGTTTAACCCTTGTCCTAACTACCAAATCTTTTTATCTTTCTTGCTTTTACTTAAGTATGAAAAGAATTCATTTTAGTCTGTAATATTAGGGGTGAGCATGATGGACCGCTCGAATCAGGACCGGACCGGACTGGCCGGTTTGGTCCAATTCTCGAGAGTATCGGTCTAGTTCCCGATTCCTAAAAGTGGAACCGGTTTCCGGGAGGTCCCGTTCCCAGTTCTAGGGTGGGAACCGGACCGAACCGATAAATACATATTTATTTACTTTTTAAAATTTTCGAAAAAAATAGAAAGCCTAATCTAATTTCCCCAATTCCCTTTTGCCTTTACCAGTTTGCACTTGGCCAGCTTTTATACATGATGCTTGATGCTTTTTAACTCTGGTCCTGCCTCAAGATTATCCAGCATGACTGCCTCTTCTCCAAATTTAGGTTGTGGCATCTCTGTAATGACTCCCTCTTCATCAATTCTGTAGCTATGTCTTCCCTCTATTTCAAAGTACAGATATGTCATTTGTGAACATTGAGCAGCATATGCAGGTCCCTCGTTTCTTCTATCTTTTTCTTGCAGAACTGAATATTGATTTTCAGTTCATTCCAATAAGTGATTGATTCCATTGGAACCGGACCGATGGTGCAGTTCGGTCGACGGTCCCAAGACTAACTAGTCCAGTCCTCGGTCCTAGAATCTAGGAACCGGTCCTCCCGGTCCGGTTCCCGATTCTTGGGTGGGACCGGACTGGACCGGACCGGACCGGGAATCGATCACCCCTATGTAATATTGTTTCCAATAAAATCATTCATAATAATGAAATTGTCTTTGAGTATATTTATTCCATTGATCATCAGTTTTTAACAAATTATACAATATCATTTGAAGCAATTCATCTAAAATTTTATTACCGAGGGGTCAGGCATGTACCAAGCGGTGTATCGAGTCAAATGAAAAAAACTTACAAGTCGATATATGCACGTTTTGAAAGATTTAATTGAGAGAGACATTCCACAATCGATGGACGGAAATAGAAGGGACGTATATTGAATAGTTGAGACGGTATTACAAAAATATGAAAGATCAGTGAATAATCAAGAAGATTCAGAAAAGCCTAATTGCTTGTTGAGATAAACTTTTATTTTACTTTTTCTCTTTAAAATCTTGCGAGGGATTTGTCTTTTCCTTTAACTTGAAAGGGCTGAAATTTATACACATACAAATTATAACCGGTACGTTAATATATAGCTTCTTTTCATAATTTAAAAGTTATTTCAAATTATGGTGGAAAGCGATATTTTTTACTTTTTCCAAAAAGATGAACAAAAAAGATTGCGACATTCTGTCTCCGTGTTTCTTGCTTTCCCAGAAGCAGAACGAATAACACCCGCCCCAAACCTGCCTCCCGCTCCGTAGCCGGACGAAAAAGCAAAGACTCTCTCAACCATCTTTCTTTTCTTCAGCAGGGGTCGCCATCACTCCCTCTCTTCCTACTCTTTCTCTAGGCACTGCTTCTGCTGAAAAAAAGACCAAGATTTCTTCCCTTGTCTTGCTGGGTTCATCTTCCGGCCCGGCAAACACTGACCACAGCTCTCTCTTTCTGGACCTCAAAGTCGCTTTCATGGCCTTTATGTTAAAAGCTCTCGTTTGCGAATGAACTTTTGGGCTTGTGCAGTACCAATCGGTATTAATGCAAAAAACGGGAAAAAGGCTAAAAATTTCATTTTACTATCCATGTACATTTGCATGCACCTTTTTTCTCGGGAATAAGTTCATTTTACTATCCTCTTCTATTCTGTTTAGTGTGTTGATTTCTTTTCTCTTAGTTAGTGCATGACTGATGCAGATAGGGGACTTCAAGTTGTAGGAATAACTTCAAAAGTATGTTGTATCTATTGTGCGGAGATGCCATTACTTTGTAGGCCTCTCTCTTGGTGCAGGAACGGGCCGATAGTTTGGGAACGACCCATGTGGCGATTTAGGCTTCTCTCGATCGCTCACTCGCGCACCCGGATCATATAGAGAATCTAGAGAGAGAAGGTTTGGGAGAGAATGGAAACTATTTCTATTGTTTGGATACTTCAAATGAGGAGCAGAACCCCGTACTTATACAAGAACTCAACAGATTACATCCATTGATCGACTTTTAAACAGGTGGCCGAGATTGCATCCCCGTCCACCAATTACCGGTATTTATGCTGAGAACTCTCTAGAATACGGCACAATTACCGTATCGCCCGTCCCTGAGAATGTTCCAGAAGCTCCATTAGGCTCTAGACGAGTCTTTGTCGATGTTGCACGGTCCTCGGTGCATCAAAATCTCGTGACCGTGACACATGAGTGCCTGTTGTTGCTGTATGCATCTGCCGTAGTATCAGGGGTTGATTGGAACAATTGATCCTAATCTCAACTTTGGGAAAAGAACTTGTTCATATCTGTTGCCAGGTGAGATTTGGAAGGTCCAACTTTGAGTGGTATTGGTGATATCTCTTTGCCTTAATGTTGTTTCCAGATGTGTTGTTTTCTTTTATGCTGCACACAACAAGATTTCATGTCAGCGGTCGCATGATCAGCTGCACCAACGTTTTGTACTTGTCTTTGTGACATTCCTCTCTGTTGTTTTCTTCCCCTTGCTCAGAAACACTTTTTCTTTTGTTAATTTCAATTGCTTGCTACGTATCTCCTTCGGTGATAAAACTATTTTTTACTTACAAGCCAAACTAATTTTAACTTCATTCAGAGAAAGTGGTAAGTCTCCCATGTTATAATCGAATTTAACGAGCTAAATTCTAAAGACACAAAGCACATCTAATTCGTTAGTGATCCATTTCTTATGGCCACTGAAGCAATTTGTAGTAGGAGAACTTGAGACGTCCAAGCTGTAATAACAAACTAGCCTCTTATAGCTGAGATATTAAGGTTTTGATTACAGGTTGCTAGATACAATTTCCGGCAAAGAATACATCAACATCACCTCCTATAGTACGGCTCAAATGATTCACTCCCAGTGGTCTTATTTGTCTTCAACTATGAAGAGAACTATAAACTCTTGATCCCAAGTCCAGTAACATCGATCTCTTCGTGGCAAAATTGTTGGCGCAGGACTTTTGGTCTGCAGACGCATGAGACCTGGCTCCGTGAAATCATTCTCCGCTGATGAGCTTTTGCAGTTGTGGCGCGCGGACCCTTATGACTCGCTCCCATCTTTGGGAGATCACGCGGATCCAATACCTGCACTGTCCGTCGCCTCTTGTCTGTTGAGAAGGAATAATAGAATTATGACCTACCGGGTATTAGGTTTATGGAACAGCAGCTGCCTATACTACGAAATCAATCAAGTAACCCGTTTCTGCTTTTTGATAAAGTTCTTGCATCTTCCTCTTGGTGGCCTGAAACTTCATGTCCGCCACAACTTCGTCCCTGCCCTTGATCCTCTGATTGAACCAAATGAATCAAAGTCAGTTCTTTTAATTGGAAGGATACTGGCATATTAAGTTGGCTTTTCTGCTTACCGCCTGTCGACCGGCAAGTGGTCTTTTGCACCCCTCGACTGATCCGTGTGAGCTTTGTGACTGAAGCATTCTCTCCTTCGCAAACTTCCGTGACACTGTATCGCTTGCTGGGATTGTCCTCGAGTTAGTGTTCGAGCACATATTGGGCTTCACAATGCCCTTGTGCTGGTTCACATTCAGCCTCCGGTTCCTCTTAGCAAGTGTACCGGCCTTCTCTTGTCCCGGTTTCCTGATGTTCTGGTGCTTGACGGAAGATGTTGTTCTGTCTCCAGTTTTGCTAGGATGTACAAAAAAGAATTCAAGCACAAAGTAAAGAAAACTCAGCATATGGGGACTCGATATAAAGTGAAAGAATGTTTGTGCAGTAAATTAATACCAGCAATATCCTCTGTGCCGCGGCAAATATCTTCCACCATAGCCTTCCATTCCCTGCAACGAAAAGAATCAAGCAGTGAGTATGAAACCATCGTGCGCTTTCGGGACCAAATTGTATGAAAAGAACTTATCCTATAATATAATCCAGACACAATGCAAAAAGAACGCTCCATGTGTCGGGCGAGTTGCGCAATTTGCTTTGATCCGTAGTTTCTTCGGAGACTGTTGACGCTTACCCAAATCTTAGTTTTCCGCGAGAAATCGGAGAAATTACATGAATAAGATATAGGTTGTCGATGCAAAAATAATATACCATCAATATAGAATTTCAATCAAACCTCCAATATACCCAAAGTGATGCTCATTGACCGGAGTAGTGCGGAATCAAACTGCCATACCACGAAACAGAAATAGGTCAAATTGCACGCACTAGACAAGATTTTAAGAATGAATAGGACAAGAAACACTTTTAACAATCTATGGACACATTTATCTCCGAAACCCATTTAAATCAAAATCGATGGGTAAATATTGGACAAGAAACAGAAACACGCCAGCCATGGACCAAATTCAGAGTTAGGGCACTGACGTTATGTCGACTATTGTCCAAAACCCGCTTAATCCAATAGAACTTCACAACCTGAGAGGCCTCTTCAATATCATCGCTGAGTGCGTACTTCATGTGCAGCACTACCCGTGTTGCTGTTCGCCTTGGTTTCTTTACTGTTGAGTGCGCAACCACCGCTGACCTCTGTCGTCCGGCGAAAACCCCCCCCCCACACCCCCGCCGTGATAGAAAAAAAAACCCAGCAAGCGAAGCCGGGCAGGAAAAATCGTACTCTTTTTAAAAAAAAAAAAAAAGCCAGTGTCCGTGCGAAATATTCTCCAGAAAAACGCTCGAAGCGCAAGACGAAGGTCAAGAAACTGTGAAAAGAGAGCCAAGATGAGGAGAATTTAAATGACTTTCCTATCTTAGATCATAACACAGCGAAGCCATCTCCACCATTGGATTTCAATGATTATAATGCGGATCGTTTAAGATCCGAAACCGCATCTTTTCTTCTACTAATTTTGAAACATGGTTTGCGGAGTAATTTGTCATATTAATAAGCTAATCATACAATAAGATGCGACTGCAAGCCGTGCAACCACTCTGCTGCCCCATTTATCGAATTCAAGAAGATGGGTGTTAATTTGGAGTAATTATTTGTTGACAAGTTTTGCAAATTTGAATTAAACGAAATTTGCTAGAACCTGATTTGCGAAAATTACTCTTTGTTGTTTTGGGATTTACCAAACCCCTAGAAAACATATAGTATTTGTTATCATGAAAATAATTAATAGGAAAAAGATTATTCGAATTACTGTTTTGTGCGAATGGCTAGAATTGATATGGAACTGACACAGCCGGATCTACCTTTCTCCTAATTTTTCAAGGGAGTAAATATCATCAAATTTTAAATATGTTCTGATGATCTAATCTTATATTTTTATCCAGTGAAGATTTTTAAACTGACCGAGCATCTCCACCTTTATCTTAATTTTTCACCAAATTAACTACCATCAAATGAGAGATATTTTAATAGATAATTTAATAAGGATAATAATCTACTTTACTACGTAATTTCAATTGCTTTTCGGAAAAAAAACCACCAAGAGTTCAAAATTTATATTTATCCAAAACAATATTTAACAAAAGACACAACTAAAGATAAGAGTAAGAGACCATAGACATAAACATAGTCTCTTAAATATCTCCTCTCTTTCTAAAATTAGTTTGGTTGGTTCAAGGACATTAACGGGATGAAATAATGAGAGTACGACCCCGCGAACCAGTTGATTGTCGATTTATTTTTTTGCAATTTGATTTTAATATGAATAATATGTCTAATATTAAGTGAATATATAATTTATTGAATACGAGAAAAAATAATATCGATTCACTTGCGAATATCTTTAATTTAATACATCTACGATCAAATGATATGCTTTTTTCGTATTTATTACGATTATTATTTCAAGATAGTTATATTCAAACTAAATTTTGTGCTTTACAAACGCATCAGAAATAATTAGGAATAAAAATAAATCATTACCTTCAAATGCGATCTTTAGGTTTAAAAGGCCGCAAGCGACAATGTCTACTTACGCATAGCATTTATAAAACGTACTCAAAACTAAGATATCTTTATTATAATTCATGGAAAGTAATGGATGGTAAATTTGTCACAGGTATACCAATTTGAAGTTTTTCATGGTATTAACCCTAAATTAAATTCTCTAAAAATAAAAATATTTAGATTAATTTTGTGATATCACGTCAATGCACCATCCAATCTTATCATCTCACCGCATGACAAACTATCCACATGACAAACTATCAAGGATTGGTCGAGCTCTCGGGTCAATCATTTCCCAAAAAATCAAGCATGCAACGTCTGTGGAGAATATAATTTATTTATTTATCTGGATATTAGGGGCGAAAAGTTTACTAAGGTCTTGCTTCTATAAACATCAATGAGCATATACTAGAAAATTGAAAGGCCACACTACGTCACACGTAGTTGAAAACGATCTTAGCTAAGATTGTTAATATTTGTTAATTACTAGTCCTTTTGGCCATTTATTTCAATTTCTGAGTGGATGTTTCAATGTTGATAGATTCATCTTAGGATATTATCATTCGTGAAGAGCTATTCCTTCATAATTCTGTCTTTTCATATAGAAAAGTAGCCCACTTGGGGTCCTTAATTGGAATTTTCCCAAAAAATAATATCGATTCACTCGCGAATATCTTTAATTTAATACATCTACGATCAAATGATATGCTCTTTTCGTATTTATTACGATTATTATTTCAAGATAGTTATATTCAAACTAAATTTTGTGCTTTACAAACGCATCAGAAATAATTAGGAATAAAAATAAATCATTACCTTCAAATGCGATCTTTAGGTTTAAAAGGCCGCAAGCGACAATATCTACTTATGCATAGCATTTATAAAACGTACTCAAAACTAAGATATCTTTATTATAATTCATGGATATTACATGAATATATTTTCAAGTGTTTCATCGCATCTTCTAATTTAATTCCAATTCACGATTCGATTTAAGGTTGTAATTGACTATTCACATCCAGATTCAATAAACTATATGTCTCTGAGATATCTTTATTACATAAGTAATATCTTCATTACAAGCGAGGTCTGACCCAGCAAATCAAGTGAAACACAAAAGAACTGATTTTTGCTTTCTGTTCCACGTTCGCCAATAATGACTATAAATTAAAGGGTTAAATTCACGAAAAATCTTAAACTGATATACATGTACCACTAATGACTATAAATTAAAGGGTTAAATTCACGAAAAATCTCAAACTGATATACATGTAATAAATTTACCCTAAACTAATTTTTTGACCATAAAAAAACCTCAAACTGGTACATTTGTAACAAATTTACTCTACGTTAAATTGAATTAATACCGAAAAATCACAAACTGGTACACCTGTGATAAACGGAGAGTAAAATCCTAAACTGGTATATCCATTAACTGTTACGTGTCATCTAACTCAGAAATTTGATGGTAAAATTTAACGAAAACTAACGGATGGTAAATTTATCACAGGTGTACCAATTTGAAATTTTTCGTGGTATTAACCCTAAATTAAATTCTCTAAAAATAAAAATATTTAGATTAATTTTGTGATATCACGTCAGTGCACCATCCAATCTTATCATCTCACCGCATGACAAACTATCCACATGACAAACTATCAAGGATTGGTCGAGCTCTTGGGTCGATCATTTCCCAAAAAATCAAGCATGCAACGTCTGTGGAGAATATAATTTATTTATTTATCCGGATATTAGGGGCGAAAAGTTTACTAAGGTCTTGGTTCTATAAACATCAATGAGCATATACTAGAAAATTGAAGGCCACACTACGTCACACGTAGTTGAAAACGATCTTAGCTAAGATTGTTAATGTTTGTTAATTACTAGTCCTTTTGGCCATTTATTTCAATTTCTGAGTAGATGTTTCAATGTTGATAGATTCATCTTAGGATATTATCATTCGTGAAGAGCTATTCCTTCATAATTCTGTCTTTTCATATAGCTTGATGAAATCTACTATGTACACACATCCTTTCAAGCCAATTTCATTCAGGTATCAATGTGCAGATATGCGCACCAGCAATGTTTTCCCTTCAAAACGACGTGGTGCAACTCAACAGCACAATTAAATTGAAATTAGCTAGAGCTGAAGAAGAAATTGGAGCTATTGAGGGTTTGGAGCTACTATGACTTAGTAGGGTTGGGGCAACATAGCTAGTTAAAGTTACTCTCTATGTTGGGCAGTGATGAAATTAGGGCCGACAACTCGTGTTTACGTGGCATATTTAGATTTTATAATTATGCCAAGTTGGATAATTGAGAAACACTCTTATGTTGATTATGCTATAAAACTCATATACGTTAAATTTGCGTCAATCCGTATTTAACACAAGGTAGAGATGATGACAAGAATGGACAGAATGTTACTGGATGCTAAATTTGACACGGTTGTAAAAGATTTTGAATTTTTTTAGACGTTTAAAAATTCGTGTTAAAGTTGCAACAATGGTAGGAGGTTGTGTATTTTTTTTTTTAGACATTCAAAAGCTTGACTTAATTTTGCAGCAACGGCAAAAGGGGGGAAAATTATTCAAAAAGTCATAAATCTATTGCACTTTTGCCAATTGAATTATAAGCCTTTTAATTTTGCCAATTGAGTCTATCTGGCTAATTTTGGCCGAAAATTGCAGACGTCGACACTGGTTATGCTACGTAGGACGACCGGCGCTGATATAGATAATTTTTAATAACATTTTCATGTTTTTATCATTTCTTTTAATTTTTTATTTTCTTTCTCTTTCTTTTTTTTTTCTTTCCTTCTTCCTTCTCTAGCTAGTCCTCGAGCGTCAGCGATAGCCGACAACCAGCCAGAGGCGAGATCAACCTCAACGGCCTCGGGCGAGCCCCACCTGCCCTTGGAGAGGTTGAGCCTTGCCCAGCAATGGCGAGACTCGACCTTGTCGGTTCTTGCCTCTAGTTGGTCATCGGGTCTTGGCGACCGGTTAGAGGAGGAAGACGGAAAGAAAAAAAAAAGAGACAGGATAAAAAAAAAAGGAAAAAGAAAAGAAAAAAATAAAAATTGTAAAAAATAGATTAAAATATTATTAAAAATTATCCACGTCAGGGTGCAGTAGTGGGACGCTAGCGTCTACGTTAGCAATTTTCGACTAAAATTGATCAGTTGGATTCAATTGGTAAATCATGAAAATGATTAGGACTGAATTGATAAAACTGCAATAAGTTTAAGACATTTTAAACAATTTTTCCAGTAAAAGGGTGTGTACCTTTTTGCTAATCAGCCTAAAAAACCGAATGTTTCGCTGGACCGAAGACTTGATAGAAGGTCCCCTCATTTTTCTAATACTATATATTGCATTTCCAAATCAATGTGTATCCTGTAATATGGATGATGTAGCTTAAATTGGAGCCGAGTGTTATTTTGCTGATCCTTTTGGGTGTCTCGTAGATAGTATGCTTCTTAAATAATTGGACTTCTCTAAGTGGATTTAGTCAGTCACTTGTGGCAAAGGTGGAAATTATCATCTCACTAATACATCAAATACCATCTTCTCGGGCGACACCCAATCATTTAACAATAATCGATTCGACATGGGTAAGCCGAGGGGCCGGACATTAGCATGGGTAATTACTAG